TAAAAATCTAAATATGTTAAACTTAATAGATTGTCCGTCTTTTGTTTTCTAACTAATTCATTTTAGGACCGGGTGTTGTCCACAGAAATTTCCAAAATTTACAACTTTTTGGTCACTCTCATTGAACTGGAAAAATTTCTGTCTTTATTACATCTAATACAGTATTTTGAAGAAATCGGTCCCCACTGTACTCGGCTACAGATTGGTTCGGTTAAGCTTTTGTTCAAGTAATATTCTGGATCTTTCATCAGGGTTTTGTTTATGTCCCCAATTCCCTAATCACTTAATTATTTAACTACTTCTTAAGTAGAAATAAGTCGAAACCAGTTACTTTGTACTTGAATATTTGTAGTCTCGGGAAAAAAATGGAAAGACAAATGTTTATGACAAACGGATACATAAATCGTAAATTTAAGGAAAATAAATTCTAGAGCTTTTTCTGTACCTTGTGCATCTCTCTCATTCATTAAATTTAGTTGTAAATGACGCTGTTGAAGTAACGGTTAATTTTTTAACATTATACAAGAATTGTACACATTTTTTTCTACATCCCCTTAGAGACGGGACATACAAAATTGTAATATCACTGGTTTAACATTGACATCAAAATTGTATTTTATTCCGCTCTCCAATTTTATATCACTCACGGATTTCAAATATTTTAATGGATTTTTTAAACTCCTGTCAACTATACAGAACTATTATAAAAACATAACCCAACTGATAAGAATATACTGGTAAGTTATAAATCTGCTTGTTATTCATGTAATCGGCCAAATATCTAGCAGGCAGGCAGCTAACAGCCCAGAACCGGTCCCAGATAGAATTGGAAGCATTATATGTGTAGCATCAAACCAAGGTCATAGGCTTCCCCCAGCTAAACTGGGTGAGGTTGGTGTTCTGTAAAGTGCATGCGCAAATCTGGCTTTTTGGAATCTGCTATTGTATATTCGAATATTAGTGGCAGAGTGGAATCTCTGTATTGTCAATCTTATTTTTTTTTTCACGTGTAATATAGAAATTTGTAATAACATACATAATGCGGTTATAATAAAATATTGTGCGATTATTTTCATATAATTAAAATTAATATGCAATTATTTTTTTATAAAATACAAGGGAAGCGACGCTTCCACCGCTTCTAATGACAGCACGCTACTGAGCATTATCTTGTGTAATTTTAATCAACTTATTTTAAACTACTAATGAAATCTCTTTAAAATACAAGAAAATTTCCAACTTATCTTTTAAACTATATATGTATTTTATATTCATAATGCGGTTATAATAAAATATTGTGCGATTATTTTCATATAATTAAAATTAATATGCAATTATTTTTTTATAAAATACAAGGGAAGCGACGCTTCCACCGCTTCTAATGACAGCACGCTACTGAGCATTATCTTGTGTAATTTTAATCAACTTATTTTAAACTACTAATGAAATCTCTTTAAAATACAAGAAAATTTCCAACTTATCTTTTAAACTATATATGTATTTTATATTCCTTTTTTTTTTTTTTTTTGTCATATTTGTTAGCTAACAATTGTTTGATGAACAATTGGACAAGATGCCCTTTGCACCCACACATTGTAGATGTATGAATGCAACACTAGGGTTGTTTGTTATCAAGTATCATTATAAAGGAATTTTGCCTGTTTTTCTGATTTTAGGGACCCTCCCTTCTAAATTTTTAGCAATGCAGATTAATAATAATTGATAGTTTTTTTTTTAATTCCAATTTGTTTCTCTTGATTATTTTTAATCTCACAACATTCGGAGGAAAAGACAAAGGGAATGGTCATTGTTTTCCTTTTTCAACTAGTGTTAAAGTGACAGTTGTTACTTTATCCACATCATGTGGACACAATTCTTTCTAGACAAGAGAGGAGGAGGACTAAAAATAACCAATCAAGTTTCTCTCTCATTCCTCAACTTCCTCCAGAATAAAATCACAATTGGTCAGAAAAACAATAAAACAAAAGGGAATGACAAAAAATGGGAGAAAACAAAGAGAGAGAGAAAGGGAGAGGCCAATATATCTGGGCTGGACACCCATGAAAGATTCCTGGTGTTTTTTTGACTGCCCAGATTTGATCTCGGAGGTTGACCCAGAATGGTAGATTAACTCCTTAACCATCTTGGTCATCCAGCTATCAACCTATTTGATTTATATATTTAGTTTATTGAAAATTTATATAAAATTTTTATCATCATCATTATTACTTGCACATAACAACTTAGATACATCATGATACTATATATTTTTCAATTCTTTTGACACTATGCTTGTTCTTGAATTGGTATAATAAATTTTAAGCTTATATTAATTTACATCTGGAAAATATTATTTGGAGTGTTTGGATGATTTGATTGACAATATACATACTGATCAGTAAAAGTTGAGTTTTGAGTCCAACTTTGAACTGTTGCTTTGCATATTTCAAAATTGAGTAATCAATTCAAAAATTATAATGACAAGCAAAGTTAGGAACTGATTCAACTGATTTTAATATTAAATCTGTTCAGTTCTAAATTTAGCATAAAATCAGATAAAATATATCAGTTCTTTTATGTTGTATCTATCAAAAATTAGGTAAATGTTAACTTAATAAACAGGCTTTATTTTTGAATTAATGTTACTTAATGACAATGAAATATATAACGTATAAATCTGTTAAAATTTCGTTTAAAGAATCTCAACAACATTGATCCTAAAGAAGTTTTTAATCAGACACAAAGATCAAAAATTACTCAAATAGAAACTTTGAAAGATCTTGTACAGGTAAAATAGTCATTTTTAAATTATTTACAAAGTTGAATTCAAATAAATATTTTTTTTGTGATACACATTTGATATTTTTAGGATGTAGAAGCAGATGATGTATATCAGACTGTAATGAGACATATTCCTAATTTAAGTCCACAGGTAATATTTTATTTTTTGCTAATTTCTCAGATTTAACATTATAAATCATAATAAATCTGACAACTAATTTTTCTTATTTGATTAATTTTTACTATTGATGATTTTTATACATAAAAACTGCTGTTTATTATGAAGTAATTATGAAAATTAATAATATAATGTATAAGAACAAAGATTATGATTAAAAATATTGCCTTCAACAACATATATTAAATAGAACAGCATTTCTCAAATTATGGGTTGTGACCCAATATTGGGTTATGTTAAAATTTTCATGGAATGTGAAATGGTACTATCAATTTGCAGAAATACTTTTATTACTCTAAGAACTAGGTACAATACATGCATCTATTATGTACTGAAAATTTTTAACAACTTTTTTCTTAATTATTATTGTTATTTAGTAATAAAAGTAAGATTATAGAATGTTGTATATCAAATTATTCAAAATAGAAAAGAGAAATCAATATCAAAATAGATATTTTATGTAAGTCATAGTCATAAAGCCATTTAAGTTGCAATAGTTTTGAAAATATTTCCATGTTTATTCAAACTTTTAGGTTTATTGACATACATAACAATAAATTATAAAAAGTAAATAATGGATGAATTTTTGCACAAGTGGATTAGTAAATAATCTTTAAAGAAATATCTTTTGTGTATACAAAATGAAATTGACAGAATCTTCTTACAATCTGAAAATGAAACCTTTTTTAAAATGTACTTAAGTGTATAAAAATAAAATTTGTAATATCTTTCAAAGTAAAATTGTTTCAAAATTATTCAAAAGTCTGTCTGCTTTATTTACAATTGTCAGTCTTACAGTTTTTAGTAGTTAAATTTCAATAATAATAACTGAAAAAGCAGGTAATGACAGGCACTTCTATTGTTAAAGGAAAGGTACAGGGGCAAACCACTACTAATTTGAGGTGGAGAGCATATATTTTAAATTAAAAATATGAATAAAAATTGCAGACCAGCATTGACTATGTCACAATAAATAATTGCTCATTAATGAATAGGCTCAATTGCTTGCAAATCAGTCCTTTCAAATAAACTGGAACAGATATGAAAAGGAAATTTAATTTATATACAGTACTGTTAAATATTTATTCCCTATATTAAAGCAGTTAACATGGAATTTTTTAAAATTTAAATTGTATATAGAATAAATAAAAAAATTCTAAAACTACAACTTTATGTAAAATTCTTAACAGAGATAAATTTTTAATTTGTTAAATAATTATATAATTGATTCATTTTTATTTCTTATCATGTTAATCAATAAAATTTATGGCATGCAATTAAAACTGATGGTATGCTGTGATTTATAAGCTAAAATTTTAAAAAGTTAATTTTTTTAAAAAAACTTTAAAAACTGATACTTAACACATTTTAAAAATCATAAATGTGTTATTCTAAGTAATTAACATCAGAATTAATGAATATATATATAAATTTTTGATAAAGATTCCAAATGTACTGTACATTATACATTGTTATCCTTGTCCACATACTACAAAAATATAAAAATCAGCAATTTAAATTTTGAAGTAAATTATCAAAGTTATTAGATCTAAAACTTCATTTATAATTGATATTGAATGTTGTTAATTAATAAATTTTCAATTATTCTTTTCAAGCCTCTTTCTCAGTGTCTTAATTTAATAACATGGCCCGCTCCAGATATGACATGTTCATCAAGTCGACCATCACTTTTAGAATCAGGATTGTTCACTGGTTCAACATCAGATGTTGCAATGGGAAAAGAAAGTTTATTTAAATCATCAGATTATCACCATTATAATCATATTCCATTTGCAAAAAATAAAATTAATGCATTATCAAAAAAACCAAAATTAAAAGTTCCCGCTTGGTCCGTTGATTCAATGGTGAGTTAAAATGTGAAATATTTAATTCTCTTTTTTGTTTTTATTTTCTTTCTATAGAAAATATTCTATAGATTCATTTTAATATACATTATTAAAATAATTTTTATTGTTTGTAAATTATTTAGAGACATTATTAAATATATATATTATTTAGAATAAATTCAAATGTATGTATTTTTTTATTTATTCTATGATTTAGAATTGCTGGCCCGTTGATAGTTACTCTGATATTGATATCAAAGATAAGAGAAAACGGAATTCGTCATTTTTAGTCACTGCAGTCAATAGTTGTCATAGTGAAGGATTTTTACGTCCATCTGGAAGTTTACAAAGTCCTTACACACTTTGGCCATCATCTTGGATGAAATCTTCCAGGTTTGTTGTAACGCCAGTGGCAGAAATGGAAAGGACGTCTCCAAGATCGTATCTTGGAAAGGGATTACCTAGTTCAAATTTTGATACTGTTACAACATGCTAAATTTTCTAAGTTGAACTTTCTTTTCTCAATAATTTTATTATTTACACATATAGTTATAGAAATAAATAAGACATTATAAGTAATAGAAAAATATTTTAAATGTATTTTATTATTTATTTCAGAAAATATTTCATGGTTCCTTTTTTATAGAAAGTTTAATGCCAAATTTTAATCATATAATATTTGTTTATAGTTTTTTAATATTCATTGAAATTATCATTAAAATAATAAATTGAAAGTTGTCAGTTATAAATTATAGAAAAAGCCATTTTTATATATTGTACTAAAATGCATTGTTTTGAGAAATTTTAGTACTTAATATTCATAAAGTTTTTTTCTCATTTTTAATCATTGTAGTCATGATGAATTAATACATCATACACAAAACATTTTAAATTTAAAGGAAATATTATTATAAAATCAAAATTTTAAAAAATGTGAATATTTTAATCTTTTATAATTATTGATTTATTTCTTTTGTAAATAAATAAAATATATATTTTTTACAATAATTTATTATATTAAAGTACTGTTAAAGCTTACTTTCTGAAATTTGATGTTTTTACTTTCATACAGTTTAATCTATTTTCAAATTATTATTTTGATCTAAATAAATGATTAATTAAAAAACATATCAGATATGAAAAATGAATTCAATCAAATATTATTTTGATAAAATTTTTTACAATTAATTACAATTTTAAAAATTTTATAATCTACCTCAGTTACCAATTCATAATTGCGTGAATTTGAATTGTTTTTACTTTTGAAATTTTTTTTATAGACAATATTTTTTAGCATTAATCCTACACAAACATGTTAATGGTATATAAAGTAAATGACATAAATTTTTTTGACAATAACTTGTAAGAGTATGTGTAATATTCATAATCACATGTAAATAAAATATATTCATGTGATATATGAGTCGTTCACAAACCAAATCGATTATATTAAGGATTTACAAATGGAGTTAATCATTATTATTTTTACATTTTTCGTATAACTAATTTTATATATTGTTACATTAAAGCTATGCTTTAATATAATGATATATAAAAATACATTCTGCAGTGTTTATTTAAATTTAAAGTTTAAAAGGAATTTTTAAAAATAGTTTTTATTATCAATTTTTATACTTTTTGTTTTATGGAGTTAATCAATTTGGCAAGTGATCGGCTCATATCTACAATATGAACATTAAATCATATTTATTTTTGTATTGTTTGGCTGATACTTTTGTGTTTGATTAAGTTGATAGACAAAAGTATTTATTATATAGTAGAATCTGTTAATTGTAATCACTTTAGGACTTGTCTATGTTAATTATAGTTAACTAATAATATTAAGCATGGTAAGTAAATATGACTAATGGAAATATGACTTAATGGAAATGTCACTTTTATTGACTCTGGCATTAAAAAGACTGTTCAAGTAATACATTTTGATTTGCTTTTAGATTTGCTAATTATAAATTAATTGTTGCCTAAATTTTTTAATAATCTTACTTAACAAATTACTATTATTTAATAATGATAATTATAATTGACGTAATAAGTGCCAGCAATTTAAACTATGACTTAATAGTTCAATGTTTTAAACTTTAAATATTAATTATTTAAGACTGATAACAACATGCAATTATTTCTGTTATCATTAGCCATAAAATTGAAGATGATAGCATGAAAAGACAGCTTAAAAATATTTATTTATTTGAAGATAATGATAAGTTTAATGGAAACTGATTTACAATTAAGCAAAAGTGTATTATAACATTAATTTTGTCCAAATAATTATTGCTATCAGTTAAATGTTTTGAGACATAATCATAATTACAATAAACAGATTCTACTGCTCTTACTTTCTATATATATTTGGCAATTAAAAATTGTATTATTAGAAAAAACATGTTTAAATATTTATTTACTATATTTTATTAGACAGTAAATTTTTAATCAGAAAAATAATTACATATATGTACATCACATACAGGGTGTATCAGTACAGCAGTTACAAACTTTCAGGAGATATAGAGTACACCTAGACGATGGTAAATCACATAGCAATGCTTGGTCAGAAACACTTTCCTGGCGCGGTAGTGACGACACAAAACACAAGAAAGGAAGGACATGAACAGGATGAGAAAACATGTTTATTATTCTTAGTACAGCAAAAATCAAAGTTGGTGTTCGAAATTACAACCCTGGGCCATGATGCAGGCCCTCACATCTCCGGCGCATTGAAGATCTAACATTGTTGAAAATACTGAGCGTGTCCCAGACTTCTCCAGCAGCTGCCATGATGTGTGCTTTAGGAAAACATTTCCGACCATGCATTGCTATGTGATTTCCCATTGTCTAGGTGTACTCTATCTCTCCTGAAAGTTTGTAACCGCTGTACTGATACACCCTGTATACTGTATATATAAAAAAAATAATAAGAATGGCAGAAAATTTTGTCATTTAAAATAACTGTAAAACCAAATTATGATACCAAAAATATTTTAACATACATTTTATCTTTATTAAATGTAATTTTACAATACCATTCATATTAATTTTAAAATTTGATTTTACATTAATTCTGCAAATAATAAATTATTTTTTTTTAATTGCAACTTGAAAAGAATTATTAATTTAAACACATTTTAATATCTTTATGTATACTTTTGTATTAGAACTATTAAATTATAAAATTAATTGATTAAACATTTTGATTTTTAAAATATTAGGCAATATATATATCGCCTAATATTTAATAACAATAGTTTTATAGGAGCTAATTTAATTTTCTTCTCTTTGAGAATCTTTTCTTTTCAGGTCTGTAACTTTGGGACAGTTTCTGCTTGATTCATCTCTTTGCCATATAATTCTGCCTTTGACACTTTCTTTTTGCTTGGCCCAAAAATAGTTGTTGGAAATGCAGACTTTCTCCTTTTCACTTAATTTCATCTCCGAACTGATCTTGAAGTGATGATCAGATTCTACTGGAGAAAAATATTATTTTCTTTTTCTGGCAAAGCCTCCACTCATTTCTCTTGTATTCATTACTAGATGAAAACTAGCAACAAATACAGTGGTGCCTCGTATAACATACTTAATCCGTTCCAGGTGAACGTCCGTTAAGTGAAAAGTCCGTTATACGAAACGCAATTTTCCATAGAAATACATGTTAAAATATATAATTCGTTCCGCAGCATAAAATAACCGTACTGTACCATAAAAAAATTGAAAATGGAGCCGTCACCAATTATGCCAGGTAGTCAGATGTGAGGAGGAGATGGAGGAACACTTTATTCACACATTCATACAGATACAGACTTTCTACACATTGCAGCAGGTCTCTTTTTATTGTTTTTTAATCAGAGTCAGATTCAGGAGAAGCTACCGAGGCTTGCAGGATCAACTCCTCTTGTTCCATCCTTTGTCTTTTGGCAGCTGGCTTCTTGAAAAACATGTCCAAGGTGGTCTGTTTCTCTCTCTTCTTCAACACCTGTTGGAAATGATGGGCAAGGGTGTCATTGTAGAGATCATTGATCCTGTTGGCCTCAACTGTGTTTGAATAATGAGTGTTGGTAAACTCCCGAACCTCTCCCCATTTGACAAGGAAGTTTTTGTCAACTTTCACTCCTTCTGATGATTTCTTGCTTTGTTTCAATTGAAATCACCTTTCTGTTTTTTAGAAGCCACGATTTGCACAACACTTGAATAAAGGTAAATAACCTGCACTGAGGTGATGTACTGTATGTAATAAACAAGGGAGCAAGCCGAATCCCAACGGGAGCTCTGTACTTCAGATATACTAATAATATATTCTAATAATACTAATATATTATAAAAATAGCAGATTATCATTGGCAACGGCAAAAAAGTGGAAACATCATTCGCACTTGTTCGCAGAAAGTCCATTGTTTGCCTAACATAACTGCCGAACAGAAAGTCCGTGGTTCACAGCCAGTCCATTGCTCGAGTCACGTAACGGCCAAACAGAAAGTCCGTTGTTCGCAATGTCCGTTATTCGAGGCACCACTGTACATCATTTGAACCAAATACATCAGACAGAATTGTAGGGCAACAGATGAATTGAGCAAAGATGGTCCCAAAGAAAAAGAAAAGTCTCTCAAAGAGAAGAAATATTTACAGAAAAGAAGGAAATATTGTTAAATTGTATGAACTTAAATAGGAGATAATTTAATACTTAAAATTTGGACTGTATTTGATAATATAAAAGTAAGTCTACTAAAGTGTTTTAGTATAGATTCTAAAATATATAAAATGGAATTGTTGTTTGTTATCTCTATAAAAAAAGTTTAAAATTAGACATAAATAATTTTTAAACAATATGTGTAAAATTTCTTCCTATATCTTGTTATCCTATTAAAATATTATATACATATTGTTGTGACTTATGCATCTTTATCCTGTAAATACATTGTTAAATTGCAAAATTTTTTAAATTTAAATTTGTGGTTTTTATAAATTCAGAAGTATAATTTAACAGTTTAGGACTGAATTTTGTAATTTATTCACATTTTTAACAGTATAATACTTGTAATATATTAATTTAAATGTTAAATATCTAACCAAAGTGAATCTTTTTTTTTGGTAAGTAAAAATATATTTTAAAACGTGCCATATTGAATTTAAATTCAGTTATCAATATATTGTGTGTCATTGTTTTTATTTTTGTTTTGTATTTTAGTATAATTTTGTAAAATATATATTTTAGAACATATTCTTTTATGTGAAGAAATGTTCTTGGATCTTGAGAAATTGAAAAGTGATATTATAAAAAGAGTATTTTAGAAATAATATATCTATTTTATCAACTGAACAACATGAAGCATTTTAGAATTTTGATATACATGTTGTTGGCAACTTATCTTTATGTTGTTATTGTGTGATGTATTGTCAAAAATAGTTGCATAGTTTGCAGCACCAATAATCTAATTTATTTTCTTATTTTCATTAAAATTTAGAAAATTTTATTTTAGTGAAAATTAGAAAATAAATCATTGGGATTGTAGCTTATTGTCCTTTAATGCAGTTTGACACAACAGGAGGCTAAGTTGTCAAGGATATGTAAGAATATTTTCAATATCTTAAAGTAACTTTGATATTAAAATAATAAA